AACAGGTCAATAGCATCGCGATTGCTCTCCTTTTTTCTACATTTTGTTTTTTGTTTGTTGTTGTTGTTGTTGTTTGCAATAGCAATCAAGACATCCGAGGGACAATTGCCTTAGGGGAAAAAAACGGAAGGTTTGTGTGTGTGTGTGTTTCGTCGTGGACAACAGTGTTGAGGCTTGGGAGGTATGTGTCACTCAACAGGCGCCATAAGTTCTAAAAAAATAAAGGGATATGATAGCATTCGCTTTACCCGCGTGCTCCTGGCGCTGTGGATAACCTACGCCTCCTATACAATGGCTCGTCGACCTTTTAGCGTCTCGCGAGCCGAGATTCAACGTGACACAGGGTTAACCCCAGCTCAAACCTCTCTCGTAGACAGTGTCTTTGTGTGCACCTACACCATTGGGCAGCTGGGCTACGGACGCATAAAGCGATACTTTGGAAACAAGGAGATTCTCGTGTACGGTGTTCTTTGCTCTGCGCTGGCTTCCGCAGTTCTCGCCCTGTCATCATCGCTGTGGATCTTCTGTGTTGCGTGGGCACTGAACGGCTTCGCCCAGGCGGCTGGATGGGCAACATGCCTCTCAATATTGAATGCGTGGATCTTTCCTTGGGAACGTGGAACGGTGATGGGGTGGTGGTCAACAAACATGGCGGCAGGTGGTGTCCTGGGGAATGTGTTTCCGGCGNTGGGAACGTGGAACGGTGATGGGGTGGTGGTCAACAAACATGGCGGCAGGTGGTGTCCTGGGGAATGTGTTTCCGGCGTTTCTTATTGGGTATGGAATGACGTGGCGCTGGGCTGTTGGTGTTGAAGTGTTTTTTTTAGTGGCGGTGGACGCTGTGGTTGCGGTGCTGCTCGTTCAGCACCCTAACGTGGTTGGTTTTCCTTCCGTTCAGCAGATTGAGGAGAGGGAAGTAGACGTCAGTTCTTTGCGGTGCACCGATTTGGTTCGCTTAGACAAGGATGGTAAGCTGGCGACATCTATGCCGATGCAGTCGTCCTTTTCTCCAGATTGCCGTGCTGATCGTCAATCCAGAAATGCCCATGACAAAGATGTTGATACGCTCCATCCAAACCTCACACTTTGGCAAATGGTTAGCCTCCCTGGTGTTGGCGGCATATGCATATCGTACTTCCTCCACAAGCTTGTGCGATATGGCTTTATGTTCTGGCTTCCGTACTTTGCGGTACAGGAGCTTAAGTATACCACGGAAATTGCTGGATATGTGTCTTCTTTTTTTGACATTGGCGGTGTTCTTGGCACTATTGTATCCGGTTACGTTTCTGATTGGATGTTTCATGGGCGAGGGCGTACACGTGTTATTTTGTTATTCACGGTTGGTATGATTATCAGCACCTTTTTTTTCGGTGCCCTCTCCCATCTCTTTGTGATGAATACAATGCTCTGCACGGTTGTTGTTGCTACTGTAGGTTTCTTTGCCTTCGCGATCGACGCTCTGATGTCGGGTTCCTTCCTATTGGACTATCTTGAGCATATCAAGCTGGCATCGCAGGCGGGTGCTATTAGTGGTGTTGTGGGCGGCGTGGGATCGGCCGGATCCATCTTTCAGGGTGTATTTACTGTTCTGTTGAGCTCTAGCTCCTGGTCAACTCTGTTTTACAGTTTTAGTGTAGCAACGGCTCTGGCAGGTTTATGCTTGGTTCGCCCTCTCCATAGAGAGCTGGAGAGACATCGTGGGTCATTTTCGCCGGTGTAACGTCTGCGTATAATGCTGATGGTTTAGTGGCACTTTGCCTTTTTGCACGGCATGGGGTGGTGTCTTTTTTTTTTTT